TTGCCTTTTTTTGTAACAATAACATCAAAGAAAGAATAGAAGATATTAGAATCAGCTGTCAGTGGTGCAGAATCGCGCTAACCCACAACTAAAAAAATAACAATTTCTTTATGTATTGTATAATGTATATATTGTAGAGGAAGTCGAGGAAAAAATCCCCGAACGAGGATTATGAAATCCGCAAATGAGTAGTGTCGGATCCTGGAACTAGAGAAGACCTACCCAACTTCCTCTCCTTTAATACACTCGTTATTTAACATGTATTTATATCTAGAAGCAATGAATATATTAACTATTTGTGGGACCCAAGAATTTAAATTTTTTGGCATATTTGAAATGGCAGGACATCGGAAGACGGCTTTTTAAAAATGTATATTTTATCATTTTTTGGACGTTTTTCTTTGCAAACATTTTTACTACAGGGTGTTCCAATAAACATGCGAATCATGAGAGACGATTGGAATATCGTCTTTGATTTCAGATAATTTATAAATAAATGCATCAAAAAACACTTAAAAGTCTTATTAGCTTTCCAAAATGTAGTCTACCTTATTTGCATCCTTCAATCAACTAGCTTCTGGACAAATTTCCTAATTTTGAAGGTGAACAATTGGTAGACCATAGTTTAGAAATTTAGAAATTATATTTTTATAATTATCCCACATTGAACAAAGAAGACATTGAAGTCGTCATTTAATTCACATTTTAACTGGGACACCCTGTATAAAACTGGATTTTGCAATAAAAGATTTTTGTTGCAAATTTGCAATTTGTTTTGTAGATTCAATAAGTACAGCTTAAGAGATTTACAATTATGTATCATTTGTCATATTTGGACATAAAACATGGGATTTAAAGGGGGGTGGGTTCAAATTGCCCCCCCCCCCAGCTTATCCTGGTTTTCAAGTACCCCAGCCCAGCAGAAATAGGGTTATGAGAAAATGCCACAGATAAAGCAAGAATTTAAAGTTAAAATCTAAGATGGGCGATAAGTACCTATAGTGGGTTCCAATAAACACGAGTTTGTAATAGTTGATAAATGACAAAGAGTTATCACCTTATCAGTTTTGAGCTTTCTAAAGTGCGGTCTACCTTCTTTGTATCTTTAAAATTGACGGAAAAATTGAACATTTCAGCAATTTTGTTTTAAATGAAATACATGAGCAAAGACGATGTAGAAGTCGCTACTTAATGGCCATGTACGTATTTTGGTACACCCTGTACATACGGAAATACCTCACTATACCCTACTTGCTAACCTCTTCACCTACTCTCCACCTATCTATATATGTTTCCTGCAATGTTTATAACCAGAAATAAACCGTGAATCTGCTTTTCATGACAGATAAAATCTGATATATATATATGCAGAGCAGCATAAACAAACAACCAATGGGGAACAGAATATGGCTTGGGGGCCTTTATAGGAAACAATCTAGTCGATAAGAAAGCATTTTATACTTTGCTTGGCGGTCTGTCGAATGAACTCATCGGACGTCAAATGAGCGGAATTAAAAAATTATGGAACAACATTTTTAAAATTTTTTTTTTGAAACTCATAACTTTGAAAACCTTCTTAGATTGTGCAGTGAGAAGTTTCGTGAATGTTTAATCTTTTCCTTAAGGGGTTTCAATACATTTTCCCCCATTTTTTCTTCATTTATTCATCATAAAAGTTTTCCTTTATAGTTATTATATCCTTCTGTTCTAACTGTGTAAAAATACATTTATTTTCGGCATACCTATTTAACACTAATTAGCTTTCCCTTTTAATTTTCATAGCTGCAGAGACCAGCTGAAACATTGTTCTTTCTAGAATGTTCACCACCGCCATTTTTAGGTTTTGAAAATTTGTTTGGTAGCTTAAACTTTCAGTTTTAATTTATTTAAAATTCATAGATAAAAATGATCATAAATGTCATAAACTTTTTTAATATCTAAAATTGTTTAAGAGCGATGATATTGCAATTAAATCAGATTAAGATAACAATCTGTAGTATATATTCCAGAATCAAAATGTTCCATAAAATAATTTCCGATTTTAGATACTTTATGATGGTAAACTATTAAAAGAGATATTTTTGTTCAAAACTTAAATATTTCTCAGGATTGAAGCTAGGACCACCCTGTACTTATTTATGTACAAAATTGTAATTTATAGTGAATTCCCTTTTTTAAAAAAAAATCCCCGAACTTAAATTTGAAGACATTTACTATTTTCAAATTAGGGCAGTATCTTATAGTTCTAAGACCCCTTCTTTTTAAAATTTTAAATTTGGTGTCTTGATTTTCAATATTTAGGCCCCATTTTTTGCCTCAAGCTCCTGATTTGTTTTGGACGATAAATCTATGAAATTATGAAGGTCTATGATGATGGGGGAGGGGGAGGCCTCCCTGTAGTTACGCCTCTAAATACTGTTTGATATTTGATCTGCTCACGAGTAGTTAAAGATACTGAAGATTAAGCAAACATGATTCAAGGAACAGATTTATGCTTTAAATAAGAAGAGTTAAAGGGAGAGACCGACTAGACATGGTGTGTTAAGCTTAAAGTGCAGTATTGTAGAGAAATTTGTCAGGATTTATTTGAGACCTATATACGGTGCGTAATTGTTCAGACAGAGCACAAATTCAATCTTTAAAATCCTCCTGCAGGTTTTCCATTCTGGAAGAATGATTTTGAGAATCGGTTTTTAAAAAATTGTTAGATAACGACCAAGAAAAATATAACAAAGATTCTTTAGTAACTAAGTGGTTGTTTAGGAATATGTTTTTCAATAGAAATTTGTGAAGAAATCGATGTTAGAATCAGTTATATCTTTATCATTTTATATTTGAATTTCTTATTCTTTATAATTTGTTAGCAGATTAATTCAAATTCGTCAAATGTCGTCTTTTCAATAAAACAATTCCAGGAAATCATCGGAAAACTATTGTGAACATTATTCATTACAGAAACCGAGAACCATATGAGATTACTTATTTTGGATAATAAGAGTTAATTTCGATGTTCTCAAACAACTAATGTTTACATTAGAATTTTGTTACATTTTTCAACAACCATGTTTAGCCGGTCTCTCCCTTTAAACAAGATGAGTTAAACATATCTCAGTATTATCTAATTATTCTCGCATATCCTGTATAATGAATACTGTACCCCTGTACAATTAATACCGTACCCTGTATAATGAATACCGTACCCCTGTATAATGAATACTGTACCACTGTATAATGAATACTGTACCACTGTACAATGAATACCGTACCCTGTATAATGAATACTGTACCCCTGTATAATGAATACTGTACCTCGTATAATGAATATACTGTAGTCTGCACCCCTGTATTATGAATACTGTACCACTGTATAATGAAAACTGTACCTCTGAATAATGAATACTGTTTCCCTATAAAATGAAAACTGTACCACTGTATAATAAACACTGTACCCCTGTATATGGAATACTGTATCCCTATATAATGAATACTGTACCCCTGTATAATGAATACTGTACCCCAGTATAATGAATACTGTACCTCGTATAATCAATATACTGTACCCTGTATAATGAATACTGTACCTCTGTATAATGAATATACTGTACCCTTGTATAATGAATACTGTACCTCGTATAATGAATATACTGTACCCCTGTATAATGAAAACTGTACCTCGTATAATGAATATAATGAATACTGTACCCCTGTATAATGAATACTTTGTTACTGTACAGTGAATACTGTACCACTGTATAATGAATACTGTACCTCGTATAATGAATACACTGTACCCTGTATAATGAATACTGTACCTCGTATAATGAATATACTGTACCAATGTATAATGAATGCTGTACCTCGTATAATAAATATACTGTACCCATGTATAATGAATACACTGTACTCTGTATAAAAAATACTGTACCCTGTATAATGAATGATATAGATCCTAAAAATTTAAACACCTAAATTAAGACAGAAGAGTAGTTTACGTGATGTTTTAAATCTTGAAGGCGTTTTCTTCTAAATTCATTTTTTCAATATTGTAAAAAGTCACTAATTCTTTTGTTAAACACAAACCTCTCTGTGTGTGTATCCGAAGAAACTAAAAACCTTTAAACAACATTGTAAAAATACGGTCAACCAAAGGGACTATTTACGGTTCTTTAAACCAACAAAATTAGTCAAAATTGGAGATTTTAATGTTTCGGTTGAGTTTCATATTGTGTAACAGTAAATAATTGACTGAAACCCAAAATGGTTGTTGGTTAAAGAACCGTAAATAGTCCCTTTAACTTCATAGTTTACAACACGAGAAAATGCTCAACATTTTCAAGATTTGAGAAAATCACTTCGAAATTTAATCATATAGAGATCATAAATAAGAAATATGCCAAGGGCTTAGTGGCCCCCCTCACATGGTTTGCAGCAAATGTAACTTTTAAATGCGCAGTGTTTTTATTTTCCCAGACTGTTGTTAAGTCGGATATATAAATATTTAAGAAGCAGATACAATCTGAGATAGGGGTATTTAAAATTTCTCCATCTTGTTTAGGGGAGCTAGAGTTTAAAATAGGGAAGAAGGGGGGAATATTTCATATATAAGTTGTTTGGTGATTCCCCTTTTGTACCAAGCATTCAGTCTTTTCGTGAGTCGTAGAACTTTAATGGGGGAGTAGGTAGAGGCGGGGTAATCCCACCCCCCCTTCATTAATTATACCATAGTTTGATAGAAATCGACTAAAATGGAAACATTTTGAATTATTGAAATTTTTCCTGGTTCCGGGGTCTCAAATTAATTTTTATGTCTACCCAATTTTCCCGAGGGGGGAAAGGCAGTACCTCAACTCGAAGGGAGGGAATCACGTCCTTCAGCTAGTCACAAAAAAGAGGTAATTTTTTACATTGTATTGGTACAATATATATATATATAGTGAACATATTATGTTCGAAAGAATATGCAACTTAATTTTGCGGAGTTCAAGTTTTGAAAAAATTACCAAATTAAGTTGTGTCGGCATCTTTCAACAATGTAATCCACACTGAACACGTTATACATACAGTGGTTGCGTTATACAAACATACTGAAGAAGGGGGGGGGGAGAAAGGGGGACTAAAATTGCATTTTCAAAATCTCAAAACAAATTTCAAATCGCTTTTATCATTTCTGTGCTATAAAAAATGTTTGCAACTTTTTTCCTTGCTTTTTCTATGATTCCGTTTTTTTTCCACATTTGTGATAAAAGTAGAGAATTGAAAATATATACGGGTATGTTTTTAATGTAAAACCTACAGGTATCATTACGTAACAAAATATTAACTTTTCTTGTATGATTTTTATTTGTTTACAGGGTGTCCCAAAAAACGCTTTCTACGGTATTGCAGAATGCTGCTGTCAACATGGTTCGATTTACAAATTTTCGGAAAATTTTAATGTCTGCAGAACATTTCTGAAAGATGGACGCCAGTTTGAGGTCTGCGGTACAAAAATTAAGGAAATTATGACATTTAATTTAGAGTTCGCCACTTTGATTTGGTTAAGTTAGTAAATTTGACAATTTAGTTTTTCGTTCATAACCTGTTATAGCATTATTGCTTTAATAAACGTTAAATATTTTTTCCAACCTTCATCATATTTAGGTAAAAATTTCTGAGGATCATAGAATTCCGTTTTCCTTAAACTAATATGACCATTGACCAAACTAGATTTAAATTTTAACAGGTAGACGTTTCAATCATAAACGAGACATTTCATAGAGAAATAATAATTTCATAAATGATTTCCTTCTATTATATCAAATTTAAATATTCCGTTACATAGAAAAGCGATTTTAAAAATATTTTAAAAATTATATCACAATCTTACAAGGCATTACTTTTTAGAGGATACCGGGTCTGAACCGATTTTCTTTGAAATAAAAGTTTCTTCATGATTGATAGAAGATTAAATATTACCATCTATTTGTTGAATTAAAAATTCGAGAAATTGATTTGAGAAGTTGAACAGAACCTTATTTCATATTGCGAATATCAAATAGCACCTAAAACTGATGAATTTCAACATATCTGAATAATTTGTTTAAATGTCTTCTTTTTTTTCGTAAATTAAAGAACCAAAACACATGCTTTATTGTATTCACATTATTATACAGTATCTTACAAATTTAACAAAAGTTTGTTACGAAAATCAACATACAGTTAATAAATATTCATTAGGAATGAAAAAAAAATTAGAAAAGTTTTCCTCCAATTCATCTACTTGTAACTTTGCAAAAAAGTAAAAATAAGAAAAAAAAAATGTCAAATTTTAACAAACATAAAACAGTTTTATTCTAAAAGTAGGTAGGTAGGAAGGTAGGTAGGTGGGTAAGAAGGAAAGTAAGTAATTAGGTGGACATACTCTGTATTCTGTAAGGGTAAATTTGATTGAGGGATCAAGCATTTATCCAATTTAAAAATGCCCAAATTGAATATCGAGATAGAATATTTAAGATAAACGATACTCCGTACAGAAGTTCCGACCTCTAAGCAAGTTATACCCCCCCCCACCTCCACCTAGTTTTTAAAAACTTACTTGCTGATTCTTCTAATCGCTTTCCAATCTGTTGAAATTTCTTTGATAACTCTGACTGAAATTAAACAAGTTGAAATCTAATTCTAAATAGTATATTACATTTAGAAAACTGCAACGTAAGACTGCAGATTTCATTAAAAACAAGTTAGGTCCAAATGAAAAAAAGCGCAATTTAATGTTTGATCAAATATGATGTGGGACCCGGACGCCTTATATTTCCAGTATATCCTTTACTTTCAAAGTTGACAGTGCAGTCTGTTGCTTACCTCCATATCAATAATATCCTCCATACCAGCTGATAAATGGAAAATCTTCCACCCGTTGATTTTCTGTAAACAAACAAATAAAAATATTTCGTTATGTATTGGGAACCCAGATTTGTCAGGACATTATCTTTGTTTTTCATAAAAATAGGACTTTACATTGCAAATTTTGAGGCAAATCGGTCAAGGGGTTCCCGAGATGAGATCGGACATCCGAAAAGAGGTTAATTCATTGTATGTTGCCTGTTGAATAGATAGATTAAACGGCGGATAAAAAGATAGTTATCTCAATTTGTCATCTACGGTGGTAGGCGATTTTATCAATATAATGAAGACGAGTTTCGATTTAAATTTTGATCTATATCAAGCTTTAAACAGCATGGCTATTCAAAACTAAGGAAACTAAGAGAAGCTGTCAATTAAAAAGCATCTTTAACTACTAATAAACTTATAATTCGAAAAATTCTTGTTAACCGTTATTAAAATGTCGCATCGAAATTTTGAAATGTTTAGTTTGTTTCCCTGGTAAACGTATTTCTGGTTGGCGAGTTCGTTCACAGTCGGTCTTCGCTCATCCTAAACAATAATATATATACTACTCGCCGGCGCTGCCCGTAGAATTTTAGAAACACTTACAAACCCAAATTTAGTATTAAAAAGGGTAATTTAAAAAAAAAAATTTTTCGAATTTTTAAAAAAATTTTCCTAGCTTTTGTTACCACCGGGGTACTCAAGGGTCCCCTCAAAAATGTCCGCCAATTATTATATAGATTTACTATTTTTACAGTTTTAAAATAGAACATTAAAATATTATTTAGCACATTCAAATAAATAATTATTTGTACAATAATTCAAATAATTGAATGAAAAAGATTTAAACGCGATTAAAGGATTAAAACTTAAACGTAAATATAAGATTTAAACACGATACAAGCTGTTTCGCCTACTTGACATCTTTATAATGTACTTAAAGTAAAATACCCATAGTTGTAGGGTTGGTTGTTCAATGAAACATTTTGCCCTTATTGGCTGTTTAAGCCATTAAAAGTAGGCATACTATTCGAAAAAATGCTTGATCTCAATGTTTCATTGACACCCATCCCCTTCATTAAGGCATTTTACCTGCTAGAAACACTTTTAATAAAAAGACTTTTTTTTTGGCAAAAAAAAAGCTTTGACACCCTTTTGTCCAAGATTGTTCACACTGTGTCAACTCACCTTTGGTTTAACATCTGAAAATCTGAGAAAATGATTGTGTCGAGATTTCCAGGGTTTATTATCTCTCAAGGTCATCATCGGCTTTCCCTTCAGGAAATTCGACCCCTGAACATCAATCAATCAAACATTTTTTAGCCGAGTTAATCTATAAATTCCCGCTATAGGTAAAATTAACGTAAAGAAGTTCAGACCCCGCAGTTACCAGAAGCAGGAAAAGTAAGTAAGTAAGTAAGTAAGTAAGTAAGTAAGTAAGTAAGTAAGTAAGTAAGTAAGTAAGTAAGTAAGTAAGTAAGTAAGTAAGTAAGTAAGTAAGTAAGTAAGTAAGTAAGTGAGTTAGTATGTAAGTAACTAAGGGAGGGGGGAGCACAAAACGTATTACTCTCCGGAAAATTTAAACAGTGTTTAAACATAACTTAGAATTGTTGAAGGAGGCTGATTTTTTGCATGCAAACTCAGAATTTGCTGGTTTTGAAGGAATCTGAACAAAAGTGCGCGCGCGCGAGAGTAATACATTTTATGCCCCCCCCTTTTTAAAAAGAGAACGAGATCACATTAATAAAGTAAAAAATAGTTACTTCAATTATGAGATTTCAATTACAAAGACATTTCTGAATAAATTCGACTCAATAAACATAATAGATGTGAAGAAATTGAAAGCAGTAAAAACCAAAATCCGCCGAATGTGACCATTTTGACGTTTGGGGCACTTCGGGGATTCTATCTATATTCAACAATCAACATAGAACTTTAATGTTTGTTTTGAAGCTATACAATACACATCTTGACATTTTATCTAGCAAAACTGTAATAACCTTTGTCCTCCCGTCTAATATTATCAAGAATCCCTTGAACTAAGCCCAAGGGTACATATTTTCTTGAAAAATCATTCCCCTCCAGTGCTGAAGATAAATATTATTTATTAGGGTTTTTCTCGCTGGATTGGGGGAAAATAAATGATATTAGGGGGAAAATTAATAAATTAGAAAAAAATCACCACCCTTTCCGCACGGAGGGGAGGGGGGAATCTTAAAAATATACAACCCTGACTAAAACTAAAGTTAACCTTCTCCCTCTCCTCATCACTTGTTAACTCCTCCTCATCATCTGCCTGGTCAGTTTCCTTTATATCCTGCCACACCCCCGGGCCCCACCCTCGTCCCTCACCAGTCCAACCACGCCCTGTCCCACTGTTCCAGTTGCTGACACGCCCCTCCCACCCAGGTTCACCACTGCTCAGAACACGCCCGCCCTCCCATTCCAACCTACAATATTCAGAAATGTAAAACTAGTTTAATCATTGATCATCACTCCCTCTCTTTCGTTACCTGTTACTATGGAACAGGGACCACATTTTATGAATTTGAGCTATCAGTGCACAAGATGTGGTTCAACTTCTAGTCAACGTTTCAACTATGTCTTACCATTAATTAAATCTGGTCCCGGGAAATTCAGAATGCTATTTATACATTTTTTTAGAGAAATTAAAATAAATAACAGGAAGCTGACTCTTGGGTATAATTATGGTGTGCAGATAATAGAGTTATAAACGATAAAGTATTGGTGTACAAGCTGTATCAGGTAAACACCTTACACACCAGAGACGCAAGTAAACAGTAAAACCAAGCAGAATTCTGTTTTCTTAGCTTTCTATTGACTCAGTGACCTCTATGCTGGAGTATCAATTGAAATGCCCACATATGAACAGACGCAATGGAGAGTTCACACAGGAAATGGGAGGGNGGGGGGTATTTAAACTTTTATTGTGCAGATGATATTGAACTTGGAACAATACTTTTCTTTGCTTTCTCGATTATTAAATTAATAATTCAATAATTTAATAAATCTCTCTACAATTCAATGATTTAAAATAATTATATAAACCACAAAAAAATTCTATTAATTAGTCAATCAGTCAATTATTAATAATTCAATAAGTCCATTATTAATAATTCAATATTTCAATCTATACTTCAACAAATCACTCAATCCATAATTCAATATAACACTCGATTACTTCATTATTCACTCAATATTTCAATAAACCAATTAATAATTCAATTTTTCAATTTCAATAATTAAAAAATATAATTTTGTATTCACCAAACTTTATTATATAAATGTTGGGCTACCTATCTCGAGCTCCTAGCTCTCGTTTGACCGCCACCCACTCAGGGCTCACGTTGACCGGGTTAGAAGGAGGCAACTGCTGTTTTCTATAATAACAAAACAACATTAACCGAGACTATATAAAGACAAGTTGGGACAGCAACCTATACTATATACACTAGTTGGGACAGCAACTCATACTATATAAAGACAAGATGGGACATAACAGTTAAAAACAAAAACAAATTCAAAAACAAATTCAAAAACGAAAAAAACAATAACAAAAACAACAATAATAACAACTGCGACTGCAACTACATTCACAACTATGCAACTACAACTACAGCTACAGCTACAGCTTCCAGAATAACTAAAATTACAATAAAACAATAAAGAAAAACCAACAAAACGAAAAAAACAGTTCTTCTGATTCTAACCTAGGTTTCTTTCTTGGAGAAGGTTCGGGTTGGAGAGGCGCAGTTTGTACAGTTGGTGGAGCAGTCTAGAATATATTGTCTATGTATATAGGGGAGCAGTCTAGAACATATTGTCTATGTATATAGGGTAGCAGTCTTGAGTATATTGGCAATGTATATAGGGGAGCAGTCTAGAATATATTGTCTATGCATATAGGGGAGCAGTCTAGAATATATTGTCTATGTATATAGGGGAGCAGTCTAGAACATATTGTCTATGTATATAGGGGAGCAGTCTAGAGTATATTGGCAATGTATATAGGGGAGCAGTCTAGAATATATTGTCTATGTATATAGGGGAGCAGTCTAGAATATATTGTCGATGTATATAGGGGAGCAGTCTAGAATATATTGGCAATCTATATAGGGGAGCAGTCCAGAATATATTGTCTTAGTATATAGGGGAACAGTCTAGAATATATTGTCTATGTATATAGGGAAGCAGTCTAGAAAATATTGTCTATGTATATAGGGGAGCAGTCTAGAATATATTGTCTATGTAGTATATAGGGGAACAGTCTAGAATATATTGTCTATGTATATAGGGAAGCAGTCTAGAAAATATTGTCTATGTATATAGGGGAGCAGTCTAGAATATATTGTCTATGTATATAGGGGAGCAGTCTAGAATATATTGTCTATGTATATAGGGGAGCAGTCTAGAATATATTGTCTATGTATAAAGGGGAGCAGTCTAGAATACATTATCTATATTGAGGAGCAGTCTAGAAAATAGGCTGTGTTAAGACTGGTTGGGAACAGCAACCTAGACTATATAAAGACTAGTTGGGAGAGCAACCTCGAGTATATGAAGACTAGTTGGGACAGCAATCTATACTATATTAACTAGTTGGGACAGCAACTCATACTGTATAAAGACAAGTTGGGACAGGAACCTAGACTTATGAAGACTTTGCTGGGACAGGAACCTAGACTATTTGAAGACTAGTTCGGACAGCAACCTAGAATATATGAAGACTAGTTGGGACAGCAAACTAGGCTATTTAGACTTGCTAGACTATAAAAAAGACTATTTTGGACAGCAAACTAAACTTTATAACGACTGGTTGGGACAGCAACCTAGACTGTATGAAGACTAGTTGGGACAGCAACCTAGACTATATAAATACAAGTTGGAACAGCAACCTGAACTATATAAAGACTATTTGGGACTGCAACCAACACTATATAAACTTGTTGGGACAGAAACCTAGACTATATAGATTCGCAGGGACAGCAAACTGCCTATATAAATACGTGTTGGGACAGCAACCTAGACTAAATGTCACACCTGTTCATCTCCTGAGAGTGCTGCTGAGCTAGGAACTGAAACTGTGCTGGACCCACTAGACGAGTCAGGTCGGTTAGGTGGAGATCCAGGGGGGTTCATCTAGATAATTCATTAATACTTCTTTACATCTTAAATTCATTCCTTCACATTTCTATTCATCTTTTTTTTACATATAAAACTATTATTGAGAGCATAGCAATTTATTTGTACCAGTGGGGATTGGGAGAATTTGGTTGATCTAGGGGGAACATATCATAATAGGAGGGATTAGGGAAATTTAGTTTCTAGGGAGAACTTATCAAAATAGGAGGAATTGGGGGGAACTTATCAGAATAGGAGGGATTGGGGGGAACTTATCAGAATTGTACTAGTGGGGATTGGGAGAATTTGGTTGATCTAGGGGGAACATATCATAATAGGAGGGATTAGGGAAATTTAGTTTCTAGGGAGAACTTATAGAATTTGGTTGATCTAGGGGGAACATATCATAATAGGAGGGATTAGGGAAATTTAGTTTCTAGGGAGAACTTATGAGAATAGGAGGAATTGGGGGGAACTTATCAGAATAGGAGGAATTGGGGGGAACTTATCAGAATAGGAGGAATTGGGGGGAACTTATCAGAATAGGAGGGATTGGGGGGAACTTATCAGAATAGGAGGGATTGGGGGGAACTTATCAGAATTGGAGGGATTGGGAGAATTTGGTTGATCTAGGGGGCACTAATCAGAATAAGAGGGATTGGAAAAAATTTGGTTGATCTAGGGAGATTGAGAACTTATCGAATTGAAGGGATTGGGGGAATTTGGTTGATCTAGGGAGAACTCAACCAAATAGGTGGGATTAGGGGAATTTTGTCAATAAGGGGGAAATAAAACAAAGTTTTGTTAATCTACCTTAATAGGAGTTCCTTCTCCATCCCGTTTCCTCAGTATAGAAGGTCGAGGGGATCCTTAATAAGTGAAAATGTGAAATGTAATTTAAAATTTTTATTTTTATTTTTTACCTGGCACCGGTTTTTCTTGTTCTTGTGTTGGTAGGATCGGGGTTATTCTTACAGGTGTTATGGTCGCTCCTCCTTTGTAACATCAATTTTTTAAATGGGAATGTCGACCGTCGAATGTCGATGTCATGTCAATTGTCAATCAAATTTACTGAGTTTCAGTGAGCTAGTTTTCCTACTAACCCTTTCAACCCTTGTCTGCAAAAACTAAGAAAATATCCATGTTGTACTATTTAAAAATTGATCGTTTCAGATGAGCTTTCTACATAATCGTGTTTTGCAGATTTATGCAGCCAATACAAGGCAGAAAATTGACAGAATTAATTTTTTGGTATAAAACCAACGATAACGGTTTACAGGTAACTGTATACAACCCTTTCAACGGAGGGTCACACAAGTTTTGTCGACAATCACAACTTTATAAACAATAATCAACAATTAATTTGTTAACAACATATCATAAATTTTTTGGATACAATAAGTAAACAATAAAGTTGACATAAAAATTGTTGAATATATTAATTATTGATTCAACAATCAACATAAATAATATTTTAATTTCTTTCTTCCTTCATATTCTTTCTTTTTATTGGCATTTTTTTTAATAAATTTTGATGTTTTGAAGTTAAATTCAAAAGATGGGAGGAAAAATGTAATAAAGTTAAGTTAGATTATTTGCTGTATACCTGTTTGTTGAAGAATGCTTCCGCCCATATCTTGAGCCTGAGCGTGAGCTTGAGCTTGAGCTTGAGCTTGAGCTTGAGCTTGAGCTTGAGCCTGAGCCTGAGCCTGAGCCTGAGCTTGAGCTTGAGCTTGAGCTTGAGCTTGAGCCTGAGCCTGAGCCTGAGCCTGAGCTTGAGCTCCTGGAGCTGGCAGAGTTGTTATTGTAACAGAGTTCTCAGTTCTACCAGATTCATACAGGATGGTTGGTGTAAAACTTGGCATAGTCATAGCAGGGGCCCTTTAATAATAACATTGGATAATGGTTATTTCAGTGGCCCTTTATAATTAACATTAGTTAAAGCAGGGGCCTTTTTTAATTACATTAGTCATAGTAGGGACCATTTCTCATTAACATTTCTTATAGCCACGGCCATTTATAAATAACATTGATTATAGCAGGGGCCCGTTATACATAACAAGTTCTACAAGGGGGCCTATGTAATCAACATTGGTTATAGCAGGGTCCAATTATAATAAACATTGGTTTTTAGCAGGGGCTATTTATAATTAACATTGGTTATAGCAGGGGCTATTAATAATTAAAATTGGTTATAGCAGGGGCTATTTATGATTAATATTGGTTAAAGATGGAGCCATTTATAATTAACATTGGTTACAAGAGGGGCTATTTATAATTAACAATTGTTAAAGCAGGTCAAAAACTTTCCAGTTACTGTTTAAGTTTTCATATCCCCCATCCCACCTCCTCAAAAAAATCTTTGAAAAACAATCCTTCCTCTCCCAAGGGGCGGAGGGTAAGTCTTTAAATTATAAATCCCTCCAGTAAAGCAGGGCCCTATATTTATACAATATAATCATTATCCCGAATTATCGTTTAAAATAATTTCTCTGTTTTTTTATATTTGGATTTCTTTCTTATTTTCAAATCTGTTTCTCCTCGACTCCCTTTACTACCTGATTGCTCTTTCTGTAACAGTGAGATTGACCGGCATGGGTTGGGCCAGATGTGGTTCTGCTCTAGCTGTCTGTTCTGTCCGGGATACAGGGAGGAAAACAAAACTAGGATTACCCCCACCACCACCACTACCTCCCCCTCCTACTCCTCCATCCCTGCAATTAAAAAATCATAATCATTTTAAGTTTGACGTGGTTTAACGTTATAAAACTTGTTCGACAGAGTGTCTCAAAATAAAGGGGAAAAGGATACTGAGGAAACAATTTTCGTTTAATTTTCAATATCAAGGCTCTATATTTTAGTTATTTGAAAGGGTAATGTTTTTCTTTACAGGCCTCAGACGCTTTTGGTTACAACCATTTCTTTGAGTATAATTTAAAAATTTAAATATCTAAAAAAGTTGATTTTTTTTGCCCGGTTTGATCAAATTTTTTTTTGGACGAAAAGCGAACTGTAGATTATAGAATGTAGATTGATTTCCCCCCAAAAATTTGTTTGGGCAATATTTTTGGACTGGACAATGACGGTACCATAACTTTCTTCTATTTATGTTTTATTTCTAATTTTATCTTTTCATTGCTCTAGCGAAAAAAATAATAATCGGTGGTCCAAAACTTTTGCTCGTAAAGAAACTTCAGACCAACAAATTACTTTATCTTCATTTATTGCACGTACTTGCACAGTTTTCCTGACACTCTTGGAAACAAATAGGCACTCTTAAGTTTCACATCTAAAGCCTTCTATGTCCACGCGCGCAGTAAAAGAAAATATCTTTGAATACTTCTGTGTTAAGTTTGGCCTAATTTAGAATAAAAGTAGCATGAGATCCATCAAACTATAGCAAAATTGGAACACGAAATTTATTTTCGAGGTCAAAAAAGACATTGGATCATTCTGACCGGTGCACTAGTAGCCAACCATTACATTATGGGTCATCTTGGCACAGATTTTAGATGTTGTATGTCGATTTATAGGTAATAGGACACGAGGAATGTGTTTCTAAGGTCAAAATAAATATTGGAGCGTTCTGACCGGCGCGCTAGCAGCCAGCCGTTACATTTTGGGTGATCTTAGCGCAAATTTAACATGCGGTGTGTCGTTTTATAGGCAATTGGGCATGAGGAATTCATTCAAAACCAAAAATAGCATTTAATATACATACTTTTCAGTTTGCATGCCAAAAATCAGTTTCCTAGGACAATGCTAAGTTATGTTTATACACTGTTTAAATTTCCCGGAGAGTAAAACGGTTCGTGCCCTTTAAAAAAAATTAAAATCAACTGTGAAAGATCATATTTTTTTTTAAGATTTAAAGATCTTTACTTACAAAACTAATTGTAACATAAAAAGTATGAGGCCTAGCATGAACAAATCAGACCTTGAAATAACTGAAATATAGAGATTTGTATATGAAGAAATTGTAAAAGATAAACGAAAGTTTTCTGGAACACCCAGTATATCTTTAAAATTCTGTTTTAAACCAACAATATTTTTATTAAATATATTATTTTGTTAAGAACGTGATATTCAGTCAAGTTAGTGAAATAAAAAACTTAAAAAAATAAACTGATTAATCGATTAATTGACTCTACCTGTTTTGACTTGGTTGTGGAGTTACACGAGCAACTGGTATACCTGGAGCAACAGTGGCTCCCCCTTTAACTAAACAAAATAAAATTAAAAGTTATCTTTAATAAACTTTACTTTTGGAAATATTAAAACTTTTTAAATTACAAAATTTTAAGGGGTTTCTTCTATCTGAAATTTGATTACTTTTATGCAGCAGAAATCAGCGAAACATTTACAGAATTGGTTTCTTTTCAAAATTGAAAAACGACGATATCTCTCCTTGTGTTAATCAGATAACTGTTGTTGAAATAGGCCAAGTAAAGTCATCTAAATTCCCATCGACAGCCCCTTTGCGGTAAAAAATATAGTAAAAAAAAATCCAATGTTCAATACTTAAATTATAGAACATATTAATATAATAAAATCAATAATATTCATTCATTCATTCATTCATTCAAAAAGAACAATTTGAAACGCATTTATTGCGTTAAACCTCTAACCTACCTTGCTGTCCTGTATATGGTAGGGTAACTGTTCGTGGAGCTGAGATCTGAAGAGAAGCAAGTGAGCTGGGAGCAGCTAGTCCTACTGTATTGGGTACCATGAGCCCGGAGCCAACACCTTGAACTGATGAAGCGGTGGAAACCAACCCAACTCCGTGATAGGAACCAGGAGCAACCATCCTTTGAACACGAGGTTTAGGACCAGTAGGGACCATAGGGACCTAGAACATGTCATGATACACTAATATATAGGTTCAGGACCAGTAGAGACCATAAGGACCTAGAATATGTCATGGTTTACTAATACATAGGTTTAGGACCAGTAGGGACCATGGGGACCTAGAATATGATATGGTTTACTAGTACATAGGTTTAGGACCAGTAGGGACCATGGGGACCTAGAGTATGATATGGTTTACTATGGGGACCTAGAATATGTCAAGATACACTAATATATAGGTTCCGGACCAGTAGGGACCTACTATATGTCATGGTTTACTACTACATAGGTTTAGGACCAGTAGGCACCATGGGGACCTAGAATATGTCATGATACACTAATATATAGGTTTCGGACCAGTAGGGACCATAGTGAACTAGAATATGTCATGAAACACTAATATATAGGTTCCTGACCAGTAGGGACCATGGGGACCTAGAATATGTCATGGTTTACTAATACATAGGTTTAGGACCAGTAGGGACCATGGGGACCTAGAATATGTCATGATACACTAATATAAAGGTTCCGGACCAGTAAGGACCATGGGGACCTAAAATATGTCATGGTTCACAAATACATAGGGGAGATGTTTTTATTTTATTTAAAGAATTAAATAAAACTTATAAAAACAACTGTTTTTTATCAGGGAATTTGGGGGAAAATATAAGTTGCACAACTAATATACAGTATACATACACCCCTGGACCAGTGGGGTTACTAAAGGAATCTAGATGGAAGATTAATTTATTCCTAGATTGTCCGGTTGTATATCAGACCTGTATATGTGTACTGGGGGTTAGAGAAACGAGGGGAGTAGGGCTGACCATCCTGCCTCCACCCCTAGCCACAGCCCCAACCTGGGCACCCCTGGGGGACATTGCGGGCTTCAAGGCAACCTGACTTGCCACACCAACCTTAAATTCAATATACATAAATTTCTATCAAAATGAGTTATGTATATAAGTTAGCTATAGCTGGCCAAACGGCTAGACCAAATTGGCTGATTTTTTCTTTTAAAAACTTATGGTTAACAAAGTAACATAGGATAATTACAAGGTACTAATGCAAGGAAAGTTATTTCAGAGGTGTACGCATTTTTGTACTGCAGTGTACTGTCTTTGGGCGGAAAAGTAAACACAAGACGGATGTCGAAGCCTCAAATGGAATTTTCACAAAAATAATCTGTGAAATATTCTGGTCTTAGGAAACTATTATGTGAATTTTCAAAATTATCAAAATTAAATGTTTTAATCCTCCTCGGATACTGGACGAACACGGATGGATCTATTCTTGTTTACTAATTCCGCCCAGTGAGATCTGGTTTCAATATGTACGCAGAATATACGCGACCGCGATTAACTTTCCTTGCATTAGTATCTTGGGATAAATATATTTTTTTTAAAACTATTTTTTTATTTATAATTCGAATTTTTTAAATTTTATAGATTACCTGCGGTGAGATACCAACCCCTATATGAGACGGAATATTGATTGATTTAGCCCCTGAGCTAGAACTGGCTAGGGATTTAGCCCCTAAACTAGAACCAGCTAAGGGTTTAGCCCCTAAACTAGGGCTAGCTAGGGGTTTAGTCTGAGCTAGGGATACCCTTGTATCTCCTGAGGGACGAGCTCCAGGCTGCCCAGGCCTATAATCAAGCAAAATAAATATTGCTGATAATCCATTTTGATGCCGATCCGGATCCTCAATCCTTCCTGAGCAGGGAACTCTTGTATTGTGGATGAAGAGATTAATGCCGTATCTCTATCTTCTATTAATTTGCAGATTAATTTAATCATTATTCGAAATCCACAGTGTAATTGAAGGGGTAACTGAAATGATCCTCAAAGTTAAAGTGCCCAGAGGGGATATCGATATCAAGTGAACTTGATTATGAGTATCCAGCACCAAAGTTCCCGACTCTGTTTGGATAAAGATGCAAATGCGGATCCGGATCCAGGTCGAGAATATTCATTAAGATAATTTTCCATTATTTTGTAAAGTTTATTTTTAGGTTCAATTTTTTCTCCGACTTTATTCAACAAATTCAGAGATTAAAGAACGAAAAGAATTCAAATGAAGAAAACTATAAAAATAAAAATAAAATAAAATGAAAAAAAGTTTCCTTCTTAAAGAATTAAAAAAGGCAAAGTTTGTCAACAATCAACAAGATTATAATTTTCAAAAACGAACAATATCAATTATCAGGGGTAAATGACATAAAATGTTTATTAACGTAATTAATCAATGCTCAAAAAAAAATGGAAATTTGGACATCAATTGACAGTTTTTTTGCCTTTTTTTTAATGTTCAACATTTCATGTTTCCCCCAATTCTAAGAAAAAATACAGAACAGTTAGCAACTTTTTCCCTAAAATTGGGTGGGGCAGGGGTAAATACCTTTTCAAGAAAATATAGACCCCTGTATGATTATTCACAAAGTAAATAATTTACCTGAAAGAAAGTGGTGTCATAGAAACTGGTCGAGCTCCGATAGGAAGTACAGTGGCTGGCCTCGTCGACCTTCCTCCCCCAACTTGATCAAGAAATTATTTTTAAAAAATGAAGTAACCCCTAATGGCATTCTATTTAACATAATTTAAAATATAACGTCGCTTTCCAATTTATAAATTAGAAAGGTAAGTAAAGCCACTAGCCAGTGTAAAGATATTTGATTAGAACTATCTATAAGAGTTTAAGAATTTAATTTAATTAAAGAGTAAGCACCTGCTTTGCTTTTTAGAAAATACGGTTTAAAAACCTGCGTTCTTCCCAAAATCTTTTTATTAGACAAATCCTGTTTTAAGGCAGTGCTTAGGATCCGGATGATCCGCAAGATTTTGACTTCCTGGATCCGGATCCAAGGGGCAAAATTTCTTGCTATAAAAAACTGCTAAAAAAATTTACTCACAAACCCCAAATCTGAACTTTTGAAAAAGATAGATTTTACAAGTTTCCTGATTTCTGAATGGTTTATCAAATTTTGGCATAAAAATAAGCGAACAAATTAAGACGAAAATTTTGAAATTCTGCTTTGTTAAATAGATCAGTAAATTTTCTGGAAATAACCTGAATCCGGATCCGTTTTTTCCAGTTTGGATCCAGAATCCGGATCCGGATTCGCATCAAACCCTCAGCACTGTTTTTAGAGACTCTTAGGAGACTCATGAAAAGGTGAGGAATATTCAAAGAATTAGTATAAGATGAGAACCCTCAGGAAAAGGTACCTGTAATAGCCTGGGTTGTCAGGGTATTGAATTGACCGGCAGCGGTTGTACTGCTAATCCTTCCAACTGAAATGAATTCAATTAACACTTTTTAACTTATATACTTAAGCTAAGATAAGATATGGGAAGGATATAAGAAAATTGTAGAAGTAGAAATAAGAAGAATTTTCCGAAATGTTTCTTTAAATATACTTTTAGAATACAGTTCTCAAGAAATGTTTTTGAATACATCAGCTAATAGAGTAAAAAACGAAGAAATCCAGATACTTTAATTCTGTAGGTGAGGTGAGTCGGATGCTATGTACCTGAAGGTGGGTTGGGTCGGATACTATGTACCTGAAGGTGGGTTGGGTCGGATACTATGTACCTGAAGATGGGTTGGGTCGGATACTATGTACCTGAAGGTGGGTTGAGTCGGATGCTATGTACATGAAGGTGGGTTGAGTCGGATACTATGTACCTGAAGATGGGTTGGGTCGGATACTATGTCCCTGGACACCGGAAAGTGTCACCATTGAAGTCATCGAATTTCCACGGATAATAGGAGTCGCAATAGCAGACCTAAAATTATCCACATTAACAGTATTCTAAAAGTAGACAGATTTCCATTCAGTCTAATTAAAATGCGCATCCAAAATCCGTAGACAATATTACTAATAATGCTATCATAAGGAGGGGGTTGGGGGGATTACCTTGGTTGGGGTGTAGTGGTCCTGGAAGGTTGGGGAGCAGATAGGACGGGTCTGGTCCCTGGTCGAACTTGGGATAAAGAAGTGACTCGTCCTAAACAATTCAGTTTAAAAGCTTTTAAATATTGGTAGATTTATTACACTGCATTTTTTTATTATCAAAATTAAAAATCCCCCCCCCCC